ACGGAATTTGCCGAAAGCATGACTTGCACAGGACACTAGATAGACAGATTTAATGTCGTGTTTAGTTGAATATGCAGACTATGCCAAAAAATAAGAGGAAAATTATAAAATCTATGTAAATCAATAAAACAGCCAATACCATGAATAGGTGTAGAAAAACTAAGTGGAAATTACTTGTGGCTGATATAATTGGAGAGAGGGGGAATGAGCAGTAACGCAGTCTTGATTATGCTTGAAACTGGCTTTGACTCTTAAAACTCACGCAATTCAAGTGCAATGAATTCATACAGGAGTGCTATGGAACACAATCACATGCGGGAAAACTGCAGTGCTTTAGGGAAGGGTGCAGCTGTTTAGTCACAAATGCATTAAGTTCACGCTTCATCTACAGCCACTTAACTTTTTAGCAGACGTTCAGGAAATGCATAGAATATCCAACCAGATCATGAGATGCCTTATTAAATGGACCCTATTAGACTATAAAATGTAAATGGGTTTGGAACCGGCCACATCTCTTATCTTCGTGTTTTGGTGAATTATCATAAATAATGGTGTTCTGCTCAGACGATGACCGTAACGACAGATGAAAGCTCAGCAATGATTCCTCGGAGTCGCAGGGCCGTGTGCCGAGGACCTATTAGCATAAATTTAGTCACAGCTCCGAGGCAGTCTCCCTACAGCTTCAGGTGAGGCCAACTTACGAATCCTTTCCACTCACTTATTCAAATAAAATGAAAGGCATTCTAACACTTATCTATTAAGGCAGTGGTTTCCAAACTTTTCCTAGTCGCGGCGTCCTTTTTAAATTAAAATTTTTCCATGGCGCCATACCATAAGTATGACTATTCGTAAGAGATAAAAATAAATAAAACTCACATAACTTTATTATTTTTTTACTTTATTAACATTAAATTAATATTTAATAATTAATGTGATGGATGAACCTGCAAATCACTGCACATTTTCTCAAATTGAAGCTTTTACAATATTTCGCGCCGCTGCTCCTCGGGGAGCCACAGCGCAGTTTGGTAATCACTGTATTAAGGGATTCTTCAAAATCCAATTTTCCTATATACACTTCCATTTCTGTTTGCAATGCTTAATGTCACGAATATTTTTCATGTAAAGCTTTGAATACTATTTCGCCTGACTGATCACAACTGTCAAGCCCCCATCACGACAAAGTTTCTAGAATGGTAAACACCCTGTCATGTACGAATTTCTGCGGCTTTCAGACTAGCTGAAGCTCTGCATTCAGACATAACTTAGTGCTCACTTTATCTAGATATTCTGAAGCAATGAAGTTATCCACAATACCATCCTCACTTTAGGTCAAGTAATAATTTGCAAAATGTCCAGAAACCAATATTTTAGTATCGAGGATATGCTCTTTAAAATATGGCTTAAACAAAGGTGACATCCAGTAATTACAACATTCACGTTAAGCCAAAGCATCCTTAGAATAAGATTGTAAACATGAAATATTAGTGAAATAATCACTAGACCATCAGAAACTAGCAAATATAATTGAAGCAAATTAATGGGAAAAAGATCGAAATAAGCCAATAATTTTGTTTGGTTAGGATGCATTATTAACACAT